CAGAAACTCTAGTGAGTAACATAGAATTCCACCCCCTCCTTAGATAACCCATTCCAGTGCTTCACCACCCTCCTAGTGAAATAGTTTTTCCTAATATCCAATCTAGACGTCCCCCATTGTAATTTGAGACCATTGCTCCTTGTTCTGCCATCCCTCACTACTGTAAATAGCCTTTCTCCATCCTCTTTGGAACCTCCCTTCAGGAAGTTAGAGGTTGCTATCAAATCCCCCCTACTCTTCTCTTCTGTAGACTCAATAGGCCCAAATCCTCAGCTTCTTCTTATACGTCATCTGCTCCAGCCCCCTCATCACTTTTGATACCCTCTGCTGGACTCTCTTCAGTGTGGCCACCACCTTTCTGTATGACATAACAGCAACTAGTCCTGGTGAGCTAGGCTAGGGGTGGGCAAAAGGCAGATAGCAGGCTGGATCTGGCCCACTAAGCTGCTGGAACCAGCCCACAGCTGCCTGGTCACCACCCTTACTACAGTGCAAGGTCGGCCACTTTAAACAGCAGGCTACTAATTGCTCTGAAAGCTGGGCAGGGAGGAGAAAGCTTCCTGTTCTGACCCTGCTGCCTAGCCAAATCCCCAAGAGCCCATTGGCCAGTTTCTAGCCAATAGGAGCTGAGAAATTGTTCCTGAAGGCAGGCGCAGTGAATGAATCTTCCTCATGCCTACCCTTCCCCCTCTCTCCCTGTGCAGGAGCAGAGCCACATGGAGCAGCTCAGAGGCAGGGAGTCTGCAGAGCTGTTGGCTGGGAGACGCCTCTGTAAGCACCTCTCAGCCAGAGCTTGCCTCTAGCACCCCCACCCCCGCTCTCCCCTCAACTTCCTGCCCAGCCTAGGGAAGTAAGTGACTAGTCAACTACTCAATAAGCATGTGTTTATCGGGTAGTCAAGTGGTGACTCACTAGTCGCCCCCCCCCTTGGTGACTCCATCAGAGAGAGGCAGCAATGGAGGGAGCAGGATCTGGTGCTGGGGGGAGTCAGCTTAAAAACTGACTCCCAGCCCCGTCTCCATGGGGGAGGAGGGTGTAGAGGCACAGCGGGGAAACACCACGAGTGAGGACTGAAGCCCTGTGGGGCTCTTCATACATTTCAAAGGGAGAGGTGGGGTGGGCAGGGGCTCCAGGGAGGCGGTGCGGGGAACGTGGGGCAGGCGGGGACTCCAGGGAGGCGGTGCGGGGAACG